GATTCTTAAGCCCAGGTTTGCAAACACACATTATGCACCCCGTCCCCGTCTCATCCCCATTGTCAAAGATGCTGAGGTCCAGATGGGCCCAATGGGGCTGGGGTGAGCGTATGGCATTGCCCACTTGCTCTACTCCCAGTTGAAGACAGATTTATTTATCAATTTTTAAAATTTAATTTACATAAATGGTTTTGTTTGTTTACATTTATGTTGCTGTGTGTGCCTTCAAGTTGCTTCTGACTTATGGCAACTCTAAGGCAAACCTATCATGAGAGTTTTCTTGGCAAGATTTGTTCAGAGGAGGTTTGCCATTGCCTTCCCCTGAGGATGAGAGTGTGTGACTCGCCCAAGATCACGCAGTGGGTTTCATGGGCCAGAAAGGAACTGAACCCTAGTGTCCAGAGTCTCAGTCCAACACTCAAACCACTATGCCACATTGGCATCTAATAAATTAATCCATTAATTAATATCTCACCATTGTCCCAGCACATGAGCCAAGGTGGTGCATGGACAAAGATCCTGAGCTCAGCTCATCAACTGCAAACTAGGCTGGAAGAAGCAAATGACAGTGCATGCGCGAGGACACACATGCTGGCTGAAATCCACACTCAGCGCCACAATCCCCAAGTGGTCTGGAGCACACAAATGGCAACGTATCATTTGCCATGTAGGTCCACGGCATGGCCAAATGCGTTCAAGTCCTGTGCCTGCCTCACATGCAAAAGGACTTGCTATGTCCACATTTATGAACATGTGCCTACATGCACACACTGGCAAACATCCCATGCTCAGCGCCATCAGGGCTGGGATACACAACTGGCAAGGCATGTAGGTAACATCCACATGCACAGAGAATGATGCATGGCCAGGCCTGTGCACATTATTTCCCTTCTTCGCATCAACTGTTTAAAAATATTTAAAACACTTTTATCTTTTTAAACTGTAATTTATTCTTTTGAAAATATATATATAATTATTATCATTACAGTTTATATAAATCATGGAGTTTATCACACAGGAGGCAAAGTGCCCAAATCCTGTGGATGGGGTAGGCAATCTTTCTCCTTTAAGGGCCGAGGGACTTCAGCTCCCAGAATCCCAGGAGCTATTGGCCAACATGGGACTATTGGCCAACATGGCTGAGGCTTCTGGGAGCTGAAGTCCCTCAGCCCTTAAAGTGGAAAGGTTGCCTACCCCTGGATGGTGTTTAAATCCAGGAAAAACCCACAAAAGCGGGATTGTTTTCAGATGACGTTGGGCTAACTGAGCATTAACGCTGCATTAACCTGTGCAGAAAGTATGCAAAATCGTACTGCTTTTTAATTTCGGGAAAGGGCAGGATATTATTATTATTATCATCATTATTTGCATGCATATGCTAGGTCCACCCTTGCACAGACCTGCATGTGAGACCTGCATACACAACTGGCAAAAAGCCTCACCCCAATACAACATCCTTAAACTGGTGCCAGAGCCAAAGGCAATGCACTTTTATTATATCCGCAGTAGCCAGCATCCACATGCAATGGGACATGCACACGCCATGCAAATACACCCTAAACAGCAGTCCCTATATGTTCTCCTAGGGCAACCTCCAAAAACCAGATGGAAACATCATTCCCCTGTGCATTGAACACCAGCAAAATACTCCTCCTTCTTGCAATGCAGCTGCTGCTGATATAGGATTCTGGTCATTGATCTGCACAGGTGCTGTTTACTCAAAGCTTAAAATCTCACAATTTTAAGTCCTGTGTTGTTGTTGTTATTGTGTGCCTCCAAGTCATTTTTTAATTATGGCGACACTAAGGTGAACCTACCTTAGATTTTCTTGGCATGTTTCTTCAGAGGGGGAGGACTGCCATTGGCATCCTCTGTGGCTGAGAGAGTGTGACTTGCCCAAAGTCACCCAATGGGGTTTTGTGCTTGCTCAAGTGGGAACTGAACCCTGATCTCCAGAGTAACAGTCCAATGGCCAAACCATTACACCACACAAGCCCCCATGACTCTACTTTTTAGGTCACACACTCACGCCCAACTCTCATCTCCCAAATTTATCGATACCAATGCCCAACTTGCTTCTATCCTCGCATCCAGCTATTCCTTCAAACTGCAGCACAACAGTTAGAGCCAGCATGGCGTAGTGGTTTGAGTGTTGGACTATGACTCTGGAGACCAGAACTGGAATCCTAGCTCAGCCATGGAAACCCACGGGGTGACCTTGGGCAAGTCACACTCTCTCAGCCTCAGAGGAAGGCAATAACACATACCCTTCTGAACAAACCTTGCCAAGAAAACCGTAAGATAGTTTTGCTTTAGGGTCACCATAAGTTGGAAACAACTTGAAGGCACACAGCAGCAGCAACAGTTAAAACACACGTTTAGTGTGCCTTATGGTCTCTAGTACTTCTACAGTGACACATGCACATTAATACCAATTTTCGAGCCAAAGAGAACAAACAGATACTCTGCTTCATGCAACCCAAAATGGGGGTGACAATGAGGCTGAGCCCCTCCATCCCAAATGAACTGGCATCATTAAACCAAAACTCCTCTGCCTCTTCATCCATGAACAGTCAGACCTTGGAAAACTACAAATCTCAGGATTCCATAGGATGGAGCAACAGCACTTAAAGCAGTGTCAAACGGCCTCGTTTCTACAGTGTAGATGCACACTCCAAGACACTATGCATCTCAGAGCTAACACAAGTTTCTTCTTCTTCTTCTTTTTGGACCTCAGTTTCTAAAATTCCATGTTGGCTTTTGAAAATTCTAGTCCAAAACAAGTAATTGTCCCAGACTCCAATGCCCCTTACTAACTGCAAGAGTGGAAATGTGCTACTATTGCTACTATACACAGGTCTTACCAAAAGGCTCTGTGTGAACAGAATCCTGGACTAGACACATTTCTGGTACTCTTATCATGTCCATGGGACCTTGAGCCTGAATGAGGCTAATTTCTCTCTGAAAGAGATGCACCATAGAATCATACAGTTGGAAGAGACCTCAAAGATCATCTAGTCCAACCCGCTTCTGCCTTTCCTAGGACAGATGGCCATCCAGCATCTGCTTAGAAACCTACAAAGAAGGTTTCATCATCCTCTGAGGCAGCATCTTCCACAGTCAAACAGCTCTTACCACCAAGAAGTTTTCCTAATGTAGAGGTGGAATCTCTTTTCCTAGAGTCTTGAATCCATTGCATCCATTGTTCTGGGTCCTATTCTCTGGAGCAACAAAAAACAAGCTTTCTCCATCCTCAGTATGACATCCCTTCAAATACTTAAATAGGGCTATCATATCACCCCTTAACCTTTCCTTCTCCAGTCTAAACATACCAAGCTCCCTAAGTCTTTCCTCATAGGGCTTGGTTTCCAGATCTTCCATCATTTTGGTCACTCTCCTTTGGACACGCTCCAGTTTGTCAACATCCTTTTTTGAGTTGTGGTGCCCAAAACTGGACACAATATTACCAGTGAGATCTGACCAAAGCAGAATAGACCAGTACTATTACTTCTCTCAATCTAAAGATTAGATACTAGATACACTATTGATGCAGCCCAGGATTGCATTAAATTTCTTAGCTGCTGCATCACATTGCTGGCTCATGTTCAGCCTGCAGTCCATTAGGACTCCTAGATCCTTTTCACATGTACTGCCATCAAGTCAGGTGTTCCTCATTCTGTATCTGTGTATCTCAAAGTCCAAGAAAGAGAATCCTCAATTCCTTGCTGTCTCAAAGAGGATGCTAGGTGCAATTCTCTGGCAGCAACCAGAATCTGCAACAGATTCCAGATTCCTATGGCACTGGCACACCTCTAAAATCACAGGGCTTTCTTAGGCAAGGAAGACTCAGAGGTGGTTTTGCCAGTCCTTTCCTCTGAAATACAGCCAACAGAACCTGGCGAATTCTCATCCAAAAGTACTAACCAGGACAAGACTGACCCTGCTTAGCTTCCAAGCCTCATAATGATGGTTGCCCTCCTTGAATTTATTTCTAAACACATCCACTAGAGGGCATTGGAATTCTAGGCTGCCTCCAGGACAATCAATATTTAATCAATAGAAAGAAGATGGTGGAATCTATCATTGGTGCCCCAGAATTGTGCAAAGTACCACTCTACTGGTATTACACACACACACACACCTGTTGCAAATGCAGTGGCCACTGTTGAGATTGCCATAACCCTGGGATCCTATCACCCTCCACCATTATAGCACTCCGATAATTGTTACGGGTGCATCCTCAGGTATCCTGGGATGTGTAGTTTGGGCAGGCACTAGAGTTTTCTGGATGAGAATTCCCTAAACTACAAATTTTAGGATTCCGTAGGATGGAATCATGGCAGTTGAAGTGGCATTGTGGGACTATAATTGCCTAAGTGTGAACAGGCCAGGGTAGGCGAGAATCCCACCTCAGCCGTGTAAACCCACCAGGTGACCTTGGGCAAGTCACACTCTCTCAGCCTCAGGGGAAGGCAATGGCGAACCTTCTCTGGACAACTCTTGCCAAGAAAACCCCATGATGAGTTTAGCTTAGGATCATCATAAGTCAGAAACGACTTGAAGGCATACAACATAACGACAATCCTCTTGGTTAAGTTGTTATTGTTGTTGTTGTTGTTATTATTATTTACTTATATCCTGGCTTTTCCCCACTATAGGGACTCAAGGCGCTGAAAGTTGGACATATGCCATTACAACTCATTCTTTCAGTTGCTGAAACTGGTTGGAAATTATTATTATTATTATTATTATTATTATTATTATTATTATTATTACTCTTTAAAAGTGTTCTCAGAGGGGCTTACAAATTGTTAACTATCAATCTGCTTGGCAACCAGAATCTCCCCCCAAAATCCACTTTTTCTCTGTTGTATTCCTCCCAAAGTGTGGTGTAGTGGTTCGAGTGTTGGACTAGGACTCTGTGATACCAGGGTTCGAATCCTCACTCAGCCCACTAGAAACCCACTGAGTGACCTCTTTCAACCTCAGAGGAAGGCAATAGCAAACATCCTTGAAATACATTTTGACAACCAGGGGACAGCATGGTGTAGCAGTTTGACCACTGGGCTAGGGATCTGCAAGACCAGGGTTCAAATCCCCACTCAGCCATGGAAACCCCCTGGGTGCCTCTGGGCAAGTCACACTCTCTCAACCTCAGAGGAAGGCAAGGGCAAACACCCCTTCATGGGTTTTTCTGGGCAAGTTTTATTCAAAAGAGGTTTGCCCCTGTCTGCCTCTGAAGCTGAGAGAGAGTGACTTGCCCAAGGTCATGGACTGGGGTTCCATAGCCAAGCAAGGATTCGAATTTCAAAAAGGTTCAGCAACTAAATATGTGCCTTCACAGCTGTGAGGTTTAAAAATACATCCTTCTTTGCAATTGCACAGCTTTATAGGTGTGCATTGAAAATTGTCTTGTGGAGGAGGACATGGCGGGGGGGGGGACACCACTAAAAATGTCCTGCTTTCAAATCTCACCAAAATCCTTGCAAGGAAAAAGAGAGCAGGACCAAAGGGAAAGCTGTGAAAGGAAGAAGCCATGCTGCCCTTTCAGGATTTGCTCTCTTTTTTCCCCCCAGAAGTTATTCACAGCTGCAGAGGACTCTCAAAAAACCACCATGCATTTTCTGCCTGCAAATTAAATCCAAATCCCTGCAAGCGATGAAAGAGCCTTGAAGGAGGAGGAGGAGAAGAAGAATTTAGAGGGCTTGAGGAAGAAAGAAAATGTCAGAGGTGTAGCTATGGGGGTGTGTGTGTGATAAAATGAGGCCATTGCCCCCAAATGAAATTCTTCCCCATCCCCAAATTTCTAGCATTGCAGAGAATGTGACATCGACTCAAACAACTCAAACTGGTTCTTATTTTCTTGGTCACTCTGCCTGCTCTTTTGCTTTGGAAGATGCTTAAACTCTATTTCAGGATTTTTAACGCTAGAAATACAGTTAATATCCTCTCTGGTTTGGTTCCAGGACCCCCCATGGATACCAAAATCGGTGACTGCTCAAGTCCCATTAAATACAACGGCATGGTTAAATGGTGTCCCTTATTATATAAAATGAGGAAAACAAGCTTTGCTCTTAGGATTTATATTATTTCTGAATGCTTTATTTTCAAACTGTGGATGTTTGAATCTGTGGATAAAACAATAATAATAATATAAGGGACACTACTGTTTTACTATGCCATTGTATATAATGGGACTTGAGCATCCACATTTTGGTATCCACACAGGAGTCCTGGAACCAAATCCCAGCGGATACCAAGGGTCCACTGTGGGTTTTATATATATATATATATATATATATATATATATATATATATATATATATATATATATATATATATATATATATATATCCCATTTCCCCAAAAAATTGGGACTCAAAGGAGCTACCACCGCTCTTTGGCAGAATATGTGGGAAGTCCCACTGATAGAATCATAGAGTTGGAAGAGACCACAAGGGCCATACAGTCCAACCCCCATTCTGCCATGCAGGAACTCTCAATGAAAGCATCCCCGGCAGATTGCCTTTACTCTGTACCATCTTAGAATCATAGAATCATAGAGTTGGAAGAGATCTCAAGGGTCATCCAATCCAACCCCATTCTGCCATGCAGGAACTTTCAATCAAAGCACCCTTGACAGATGGCCATCCAGGCTCTGTTTAAAAATCTCCAAAGAAGGAGACTCCACCACTTCCACAATCAAATACAGGAAAAGAGATTCCACCTCAACATTACCAGGAACTTCCTGAGAGTAAGAGCTGTTCGACAGTGGAACACACTCCCTCGGAGATTTTGGTGGAGTCTCCTTCCTTGGAGGTCTTTAAGCAGAGGCTGGATGACCATCTGTCAGGGGCGCTTTGATTGTGAGTTCCTGCATGGCAGAATGGGGTTGGACTGGATGGCCCTTGTGTTCTCTTCCAACTCTAGGATTCTATGACTCTATGAAATAGCTCTTACTGTCTTCCATGATCAAATAGCTCTTACTGTCAGGA